CACCGAATGATCAGACTGTAACAAATATAAATGTTTTTATTTTTGCTTGAAAATGAAGGGCTACAATACATTCCCCCTCCCAACCATCCCTAAAATTACCCCAAACATTCACAAATACAGTATGACATTTTAACTACAACCAAACACTGACCTGATAAAGGTGGGCAAGGTACTGGTAATAAAATCCTAATCCCTAAAAAAAATATTATAATACAGTATGCACATGTATTAAATTGTCATCATAACTTAAAAAAAGCAAATGGAAGGTAGAAATGTGGCTTACTGGACTGCATAGAAAATGACACATTTTGCTTTAAAATCATGTAAAAATCTTCTCTTGAATTCCATCATCTAACCTTTGTTGACTAATTTTAGGTTAAATGACTATGTAATTGGTGTTAATCATGCAAATAGACAGGTGCTAATATCAATTTTTGTTTTTGCTGATTTTGTTCTAGACTTGTACAACAGACTTTCCCTTAAAAGGAGGAAATGCTCATAGCCTAGCACTGCAAAGAATGTTTCACACACCACAAAATAAACTATTTAAAACTTTAGCCTCCACAAGACAGGGATTTAGAGGCAATGCATTCTAAATTAGCCTGTGAAAAACTTTGAAACAAATCATAAAATATAGTCACAATACACACTGTTCATCAAATACATTGTAGCTAATTTAGAGATTAACAGATGTTCAATTTTTTGTCACACAATGTGGAGCCATTACTGATCTAATGGTCAGTCCTAACGTTTTCATTGCTGGACTACAAGTTTTTTACCTTGTCCTTATGCTTGTTTACACCAGTCAAAATCAGTTGAGTATTTAGCTATGAAGTAAAAAGATATGCACATCCACTGTAAGTGGGCTAAATGAATTGAAAAAAAGTATATAAAAATATTAAGGGCACAATAAAATTATGAAATTGAAAAAGTTACCCTAAACAATCTCCTAACAAATGCCTGGTGGGCTCTAGGCAACACAGGGTAACCTAAAATTTCCAATAATGATAGATGTTAACACAAAGGTATAAAAGAAAGAATGAAAATTGTTCAGTGATGATGAAAAATGGTAAACTCTGAGCTCAGTTGTTGAATGAAGTAAGACACTGTTCATTTGTCACATGCATGAGGCAAAGAAAAACCTGGAGTCTTTCCTGTGGAATTGAATCTCAGACCTTTGGATTTTGTATAAGTCTAATACTCAGTCAGTTAGGTCTGAAGAACTTTAAGGCAAGTCTGGCCAAAGCTCACAATTAGTAGATGAGTATTCTGGGTTCTGCTGTGATCAGTTAGAGAAGGGTTATCAGATTAAATAAAAAAAATGCTATATATTTATATCCTGTGATTAACATCTTGGCAACGGTTTCAAAAGTTGCCTTGTCCCATGTTAATGATAGATGAACCTAACTAGCTATTGAAGAACCTGTTTTGAATCACATACCCTTCTTATTTGTAAGAAACAAACTTGTGGGTAAGATTGCTGCTTTGACTGGTTCCCCACACCATCTTTCTAATTCCTCCTCTGAAGGCAATTCAGCAGAGATCTCCAATGCTATTTCAAAAGTAAGAAATTTATGTTTAATGTAACATTGAATGGATGTGGTTTTAGTTTTGTTAATTCCCTTACACTCCCAGGAGTGACCAAAAAATGATTTTTTTAAAAAAATATTGTTATGTCTTTTAGTAGAAGAGATGAAGAGAAAGAAAGAAAGATACCAGCTTATAATAGTGATATTGTTAACCAGAATTTGTCACCAAATTCTCCAATTATAAATCTTAAGAAATTTTTGGCAGACAATCTGAGAATCTGTATTTACTTCCTGGAAGTCAAAGCTGGAGTTAAAGTATTGTTTAATTAACTTTTAAATATGGAGTCAAAGGGTTAAAATACAGGTTGATAACAAATCAGAAATGTAAGCACCATGGACTTACCCAGGCCAACTCTTTTGCTGTTCCCACAAATGGTTCTAAACAAATTCCACCTAGAGTAATAAAATCCCAAGAATTAAAAGAAAAAAAGCATGTAAATGACATACAACAGAGGCAGACTTACAGAAAGGAAAATGATTGTTTGTTGTAGTTCAATTTTTTCAGTAAAAAAAGGAATAGAACAAAAATTAAACTACAAATCATACCATTCCCAAGGATCTTTCTCTAACTCATTTCCTGAAACTTCTTCCTGAAAATGAGGGAACAAGATAAATATAAAACTTTTTTTGGGCCTTTTTATTCCCACCCAAGGACTGTTACAGACAATTTTAATCTCTGCAACTAGACTTGAGACAAATGTGGAATGATGCTGCATTTTTAGGGATAGGGCAAGTTTAAAGGTACTCCACTAGAACAACCATAAACAATAAATTTAAATCAGGAAATAAGGAGGCAAGATTTAAAACCCCAACTGGTAGGAGGCTAACTAGTCTGAAGCTGAAACCACCACCACTTTGACCTGAAATCACTATCCTCATGATTGCGCATCAAACTCACTCACCACTCACCAATGCAAAGCTCTTTGAAAAAAAAAAAAATGTGCATTTACCTCCTCAGCAAACAAATTTTTATCACAATCATCCTCAGGACTTTTCATAGGTACATGAACCCAGACCTAAAAAAGTGAAAAATGTCCACTCCTGTTATACATATAGATGAAATGGAAATACCAGTACAGTTAACTCTCACCCTGCAGACACCTAACTATAATGGACACCCTGCTATTGCAAACAAGAGCCAACCCCCTAGAAAAATGCATGAAGAAATGACTGAAATAAACTCCTGTTATTACAGACTCTTGCTACTTTGGAAATGCAGACTCTCTCACTTCTTTTTTTTTTTCATTATAACAAACTCTTCGTCGTAATTGGCTGCGAAAATGAGAACTTCCTGCTTGCTGCTAGATCTTTTTGTGGTTCACGAGGCCATGGTAGAAACTTTATGTTAACGTAGCTACATATTATTTCATATGTTTAGAAACAATTTTTTTTCTCTTGTACTCCACTAGCATGGAATTCTGCTATTAGAGACACTTAATCTCCCCAAAGGGTGTCCGTAATAATGGGAGTTGACAGTACTATCATGTAATTTATCTATCAGAAGCAAAATCAGAGAAACAATTAAAGTAAAACTTTAGGTAATAAATGGACAAGGATTAAATCTTGCACCAGGTCATTCACACTTCGCTTATGGCCTGGCTCATCAAAAAGGTCTCTACAGCTCAGAGGTAAGACATCAGCTTCAACTCATCACTGGCTAGTTCTCAAGACTCAGATTTTGCTCCATTCTAATGAAAAATGAATAACATCTCTGTTTATTGGGCAGGATGTTCTACCAACCTGTTGGACATGTGTGTCAGTTATACTTGTGTTGATGTGCTGGGCGAGGTTAACACAGTTGTAGCTTTTCAATTGAACAAGAACAGCTGGAAGACTCAAGTGAACACAATAACACAACTCCTGATGTAGAGCCTGTGGGAGTTAAGTCAAAACTCAGTAATGTGAGAAAAAGATGGTGGACCTGGGTAAATGCTGAAGATGGTTGTAAGTGAAGTCAACCCCTTGCAGGGTTGTCCTAAGTTCTCCAACCACCCTTTGCACAAAGGATATTTTTGCCAGGTTACTAGGTTGTGGCAACATGGTAATTATCGATTGAAGGCTTTGCTACTTGAGCCATCAAACCTCCAAGCTATAGAAATTATGTCAAAATATGTTAAAAAACTTAATTAGACTTAGTCAAAAGATGGGAGAAAAGCAACTTTAGATTGGGGGAGACAGCTATATATTAGGGCAACTGAGCTTCACTAGGGGTGACAGAGCTTAAGGCCACGGTGCAAGGGCATGACATCTCCTGTTACTGTTATGGTTAATAAGGAAAGTGGGCACTTAATTAACTATTGAAAAAGAGAAACACATTATTATTTCAAAGACAGACTCAATTTTCTTGTCAAATTATAAGGCTAGGACAAGAGTTTAAGAAAATGGGACTTGTAAGATATAAAAAAAAAAGCACTCATGAATAGAGAAATCAAGTTAAGTGAAACAGCATTAGAAAAGTTAACAGATACTTAACCACAAGTCACTTACTTTCTCTGAGTTTTTCCTTACAGTCTCATTCAGTGAGTCCAAGTTTAGCCAAGGTGAGATTTTACCAACAATTAGACTGTTCCAATCTGTCAAATATAACCACTACTCATATGCAAGCTGTTTTTCCCACAGAATCTATAAAAGAACTTGTTTTAAACCTTCTGAGCCCCTATAGAGTATGATCAACAACAAATCTTGCCTCACATCATCAACACATAATCACAAGTAAAGGTCATGAGATGACGGAAAGAAATAATTTTAGCCGTGACTTTGAGTAAAGGCTGCTGTTACGGTCCTAAAAGTATGCAACCCTCGATCTACATTGAGTAAGGGATTAATGCCCAGTGTACTAGACCATAGCCATGCAATGAGACATTGGGCAAAAAAAATCACCCCAAAACAAGAGTGCATACCGATTCTTCCGCTAAATAAAAAATGCTGAGATACCCTGCAAAATGACCTATTTAATACCTTGACTCGGCAATACCAGATCCGATCGTGTAAACGCCCCAGTCCGATCCGGTACAGGCTCCAGAAATTCTCTCCGGTATCTTGGATGACAGATGGGAACACAGATGAAATCAAACCTAAAATGGCAAATACAAGGTCAATCAAAACTAAACAGGAACTCGATCTGTTCACTAAAACTTAACTTCATATGCAAAAAAATAAGCATCACAATTGAACTCGACAATTTTTCCCTCGTGTAAAGACAGCATGATTGGTCTGAAAAGCTGAATTATTTGTCTTACTGTCTAATTGATGAACCCCAATATAATTTGATGTTATTTTGTTCCTACCCTCCGTTCGTAGCATTCTTCAACGCTCCAGCAAGATCCGGAACACAGAAGAAATCTCGACCACATGACACTCGTTGATCCGCCATTTTGAAAGCTTTCTTCAGCTATCCATCCAAGCCTTATCACTACGAGCGGCTACTAAGCGTAATTCAAAATGGCGGGAGCTTCGCTTTGGGGAATCACATTCAAGAATATTCCAAAGAAACCAGTTTCTTTCATTCACATCGCATCTTGTCGATGCTTTAGCGTAGGGAAGCAACGGAGACATCAAGATAATACCCAGTTCGACCAAAAGTTGTTAAAGATCTTAGTTTGTCCATTGACAAAGAAGCCATTGAGGTGTGTAATTGAATCATTGCAGTGAAAAGTTAAACTCCCTTCGAGTATAAAGAACCTAGCGGATTAAGAACCTGATGCCAGGAATTTTCCAGTTTAATACCGAACATCAAAAGAACCTGTTTAGCTAAGTAAGGTCAACCAGGTTCTTATATATGTGGGTTACAGCTTAGTTCAGTTACGTGAAACATTTCAACCAAAGACTTTGACTTTGAGATTTCTAATAATTGATATTCAAAATTAGTAACAAACTATAACTGCTATTAAAAGTAATATTTTCTCAAACAAAACGAGATCATGTCAAGTACAGACTTTATCTCTTTCGTACAATTCAAGTCTAATTAAGAACCGACTCAGACTGAAAAAGGTGTAGGTTCTTACACACAAGTTTAATTAATACAATACACGAAGATATGCCAAACAAAACTTTTCTCATTACACACCTGGATGTCTATGGCCTCTGGTCCAAGCTTCGTGGAGAAATCCTTCGTTAATATGATAGATGCAGTAGAACCCTGCTAACTCAAACTCAGTTAACTTAAACCCCCATGTAACTCAAACAAGATCTGTTTTCCCTTGAAGCCATCTCTTCAGTCATTTACTGTCAACAAGCTGAAACCCTCACTGACTCAAAGCATTTTTTTGTTTTCCTTGGGGGTTTGAGTTAGCAGGGTTCTACTGAAAATTGCTATATTCTTTGGTTTTTGTTATTGGATGCTTTTTGGTGTGATGCTGAAGTGTCCTGTATTCAAGTCAAAGAATTATCAAAACTATGTTAGGCCAGAAATTGTTGTGGCCCTCGTCTTTTACATCAGTTGATTAATTGCTTATGATTCCCAACCCTTCATTGGTGAGTGCAGGAGCAGGAAGTCAAATACTTGGTTGATCAAACCACAAAGATTTATCAGTTTACCAATCAATACAGTCGGCTTAAATTCATGTTAGAAATTCTCTTCCTTTATTCCAAGGAACTCAGGGTAAGAGAGCTGTGATTTAATTTATTGGCAATTTATTTATGGTTGATTATTTATTACCCAGGTATGACAATGCAAGAAATGAGCTGATTTCTGATGACATTGGAGTTGCATATTCAATACAAAATGGTATTCCAAATTTAATACCTCATGATGGACGGCTCATTAAAAAAGACAACACAACATTAAGTGTGAATGAATCAAACCAAGACTCATGAAATCATTATCACTGAAGAAAAATTAGTTCTGGTACTCAAGTACCATAATTTTGCTGATATGTGTATATTTATATAAATTTAACATTTTGTACTGTCTGATCATTAGAAAGACCAATTTCTGTCTATTAGTTTGTCAACATCCAGGGTGTTCTTACATATACTGATGCCTTTGGTTAGAGTTGAGAGGAACGGAATTCGTTTTTCAAATCAATCTTACAAAGTGAAATATATTAAAGAGAATTTGGTATTACATTTGATGTGATAAGCAGAGTGAAAGTTTTCCTCTGTAGCCTTGTTAATCCTCACAATCTTGCAGGATGGCAATTTTTTTACATTGCAGAAACATATTTTTGGGGTTTAAGAAGACTGAAATTTCTGACGACTAAGTTTGAAAGTCTCTTTACCCTTTAAGTCCCACTAGTGACCAAGACAGAATTTCTCCTTACATTATCAGTACAATATCAAGCAGACAAGCAATGAGACTAAAGAAAAATATCAATTAAGGGATTATTTGTTGATCCAATTCCAAATTCTCCAAACTAACATCACAAATTTTTTAGCAGACAGTAAGCAGAATATTACTCATGAAATCTTGGGAGTTAAAGGGTTAAGACACAGAACATTACATAACAAGAGAGGAAACAATATTTTTAAAATTTTATTAGTTGTTTGGTCATATAATAGTGTTATACTGTACAGTGTAAATAATCTTTATTGAACTATTTTGAGTTAATTCAAGCACAAAAAAATATGAAGTGACATATAAGCTGCATGCAGAATTGGTTACCAAAATAAAGGAAAAAATTTGTTGCAGAAATTTATTGTGCAGTATTTTTTAATAAAGGATTTTTTTTTCAGTTAAGGACAAAGATCTAAAAAATTTCAACTGTGAAAGATTCCCATGCTACACAGCAGCCATAAAAGCTTTTGTAACCTTCTATAACCTATGATCAGATCTATATTCTCCACACTCCTCTTCTTACATTTCCATTGGTACTGACAAGGAGAATTTGTTTATCAATCAAAGCTTCTTAAGTTGGTGATCATTTCCTTTATTCTCCTGATTTAAATGAAGATTTAGCAGTATTATGGTGAGGAGAAATTAGACTCTGGTCACTCAGGATTTCAAGGGTTAAGAAAAAATAGAAATTGCTTATCAAATGAACATAGTATGTTTGCATGGCAACAATACTTGCCGCCATTTGTAGGAGATAGCAGAGAGAGAGAGGTTGGAACTAATTTAACTCTGATTTAACTTCTAGTGAAGTCATCTGCCAATATATCATCAAGATGTGCAATATAGTTGATAGCATACTTCAGTATTTTTATCTTTGGTAGCTTTGTGTCACATTGATACCCTGGAATCAACTGTCTGAGATCTTGGTAAGCACTATTCAATTGTGCAACTCTCCTACGCTCATGCTCATTTGCTAAGAGCCTGTTCAGTTTTGTCCTTTGCCTACCCTTCATTTGATAATCCTCCTTTCCTTGCTTCCAGTCTTCCTCTTCTTCAGCTAGAACAAAATCATTGCTGTAAGTTCTTGGCCGGCGAGATGTCACTACCCTTGTGTTATATGGCTTTGTGTTACTGTCCCTGGATCCCTTCTTTGATTTTGTCTGTGGTATCTTTTTTGCTTCATGGTTAGATGCTTTTCTTTTAACCTCTGCAGATTGTTTTTTGTGCTTTTTGTGGTTGGTCAACCCATCTTTTTCTTGACAAGTTTGTTCAAACTCTTCATATTTATTAGTTTTTCTTTGGGAGAGTAGAACATCACCACACACAATAGTCTCTGACTCTGGGGACTCTTGTTTAATTTTTTCTCTAGGAGGTGAATCATCAAGCTTTGTTTTTTCCGTAGTAGAATCCATCCCAGTTTTATGTTCATGATTTAAACTCTTTTTACTGTCCTCCTTTGTCAACATGTCATTGCTTTTAACAGGTGTCAGTTTTATTTTCTTTGTTGGAAGTTCTTTCCTGATTTCATCTTTATCCTCCTTCAAAGCAGCATTTGGAAACACCTCTACTTCTTCTGTCTTAACAAATTTTGGGTTGTTCTCTAATCTCACACCAAACATGGTACTGCAGTTACCAACATGAACTGAGGTTAAGTTGTCATCTACCTTATCATTTTCTTCTATTATATGAACATCAAGTCTTTCCACTGGACAGGACAATGGTTTGGAACTAAATGGACCAAATTGATGTGAGAAAATCCCATTACAGCCACTGTCATAATTCATGTTCCTATGCCATAGAGGTACTTGCAGTTGTGTAACATTTGTGAGAAATTTTTGGGATGTCAAACAGCACAAACAACTCGAAGGTTCTCCAAGTTTTCCGTGAAAATACCCACAACAATGAGTATTGACACACTCAGAGGCACATTTAACCCAAGCTTCTGGTGTTTCTGGGAAAGTTCCTGGTCTGTTTAACAAGCATGCAGCATTTGTGTGATCCCAGTGGTGTTTTCTTCCCAGTGTGTTGTAAGGAAAATGTTGTGGATGAAATTGCGTGGTCTGACAGGAAGGTACAAATTTTTCTTTCTCTTCTGAGCTGTTGGAAGGATCTCGGGTTTTTTCAGTGACATCTGGGGGGTCAAAATAAAATATATTTATAAATGATTGTGTAACTTCTCTGTATGAAACTCATGATTCCAACAAGATTTTAAAAAATTATAGATTTTGAACAAGAGGCTGGGTCTTAACATTATTAGTCATTAATTGATGTTTCCCTGGAAATTGTTTCACCATTATCAGAGGATACTCAATTCCAAATAGTCCCTCAGACCTGGAAAATTCCTTTTCTAGATTTATTTCAATGTTATTTTTCTCTCCTACAATTATTATTGAGTTTAACTTTATTATTTCTTGTTTGGCACAGATGCTCATTTTATTTGCTTAACTTAATTTTTGCCCTGATTACCCTATGTGTTAAGAGTGAATTTCCCATTATGCACGCACTGTGTGCCTACAAGGGCGTGCCTAGATGGGGGAGGGCGTGGTCTAGGCGTGATGGGAGTTGCTGAGAATTCAGTTCCTGCAACATTTCTCTGCAATTTCTTTCTTCCCAATAAGTAGGAGGAACCTGACACAAATTAACACGACTCTTGTAAGATCCAATTTTTGCAAAATGCTATGACTACCAAACATTTATCTAAATCGCAAAAAACTTTTTAAATCGATTATTGGACTCTCTTCGATCTTTGATAATCAACTTTTTGGTGGTAACCTTGAATGTATTTGAAGTATTCTTATCTCGTACCCAGATTCTACTGTGTACCTGTAACTGAAATGTAGACTTGGCTGTGGAAGGCTTGGGGTATCCTTATCACAAAGAGGGTCTCAATGGGGTTAACCGTAAGTCATAAAAAAAAGTTAACCGTAAAAGAAAATTATAGTAACCGTAAGCCGTAAAATGGCCACAATTTTAACCGTTTGCCGTAAAAGCCATCACACTTTTGCGACCCTCCACAAAGCTAAGGATATGTCAACCTGGTTCCGTGATCACAGTGATGCGCGAAACATACTTTGCGTTCCCTAGCGTGAAAAAGAAACCACAGCTGCATGCGTACGAATTGAGCGATACGGGCGTGTTTTCAAACATCCGTAATCGTTCTTTTTTCCTTTGAACAAGTCAATCAGGTGGAGGATCAAGGCAATAGAGGATTTAATTAAACTACGAAAAAAACCTGCCCTTGAAAAAAATTTGAGAGGTTTTCTTTTTTTTCCTTTTCAATTCCCTGGTATGAACAGCAATCCTCTGAAATCGATTGTTAATCTGGCACCGGGTCAAAACAGAAGATATTAAACATCTTCAACAGAACAGGATAAGAAATTTTTTGCTTTGCAGGCGGTCGGAAATTGTTTTTGAATGTAGCATATGCAAATCTCACTGTACAAACAACACACAGGTACATGATAAGGTCGCCAGAGAAATTTACTCTTATCGGAGATGATTTCCATCGATCGCCTGTCTCGTATTTTTACGAGGCTACAGTTACAATTGAAGGTAGTCCTGGTAATCTAACGCTATCGCCGGGTCTGAGGTTTTCTGAATTTAACCTTTTCCTAAAAAAAAACTTTCACTTCTCGATCATGAAATCTAAACATCAGATATTAATAACTTAATTCTTCGACAAAATATATTTGAAAAAAAAAAAGATTGCCCGTCTTGCTGCTGGTTAGAAGTGCATATAAATGAGTTTTAAAAAAATCTGAGATCGCTTCTTCAGAGAAAGTCTAACCATTATGATCAACATGTTATTGGCAACTCAACACACGCGAGATTTCCTGTAATGAAAACAGCTTCTTAGAATACCAGATGGAAATAAAACGCCGGCAGGGTGAACTGTAAGACGAACCATCTGGACGAAGCAGTTCTCTATTGTTCTTTTACTGTGAATACTGAACTGGTTTGGGTTTTAGAGGCCAATTGTCTGCCTAAACGACTTGTTAACTAATAGCAATAAAAAGATTTGGTTGCTTAAAGAACCCATTTCAATACCAGAAAGCCATTTAAAATGCGGATAAAAACCCAGCTGTTTTCGTTTGTAGTTCCTTATCAAAAAATATAAAATTCTTGTCATTGTTGATCAATGGCTGTTTTCACTGACCCAGTTCACCTTTTAAACCGATGCGGCATCGGAGATCACACGAAAAATCGATTTTCCATCTGTTATAGCATCGTTTCCCTGTGCCTACTTAAAACGCTTTGTGCGTTCAAACAATCTACGAATTAGAAGAAGGAACACGTTCACAGTAAGAATGGTTTCCCAGTAGCACAGTTGTTGCAGCCTGTCTTCCCAAATGTGAAGAAAAATCGGATTTTTTTCCCTTGACTTTTCGCTCTTAACATGAATACAATATGACATGTTAAACCCATCTTTTAAAAAATTTCCCTTTATTGGTGACTTTCCACAATCTTTCAAAACTTGAATAGTACGTTGAGGAAAACAACGAGAAAGTTCCTTTCACAATGCGTCATTGGATGAAATTCAACATGAGAAACAACACCGCTTTCTGAGTGATTCAATAAAATATTTTTTATTGTTTAATAAAGCCTAAGCATGAACATCTGTTCAGATAAGAATACATCTTCAACGGCCAACAAAAATTATTTATTTTGCATTTAAATTTTCCTTGGAAGAAAGAAACACCTATGTTTTCCGGTCAAAATTGAACAGGTTTTCTCAGAAAATATTGACGAAAATTGTCACTGTGATAAAACCCCTTTGCAATTCTTATCTTCGAAGGTTTTGGACAATTTTGAGTCAAGGTTTTCGAGTAAATGTCATCTATTGAAAACTTAAATTAACATAGCAAATAAAACATTGTCATTCAATCGTATTTCTCCGATGTCCTCTTCATTTGAAAACGAAAATTTGCTTTTATTCCATTACCAACATCATTAGCAAGCTCCTTAATGTCTATCCTTGGTACATTAACATATCATAAATACGAGGTAAAAGTCGCAAAGCGTTGATTTTTACAACGTTTACTCGAAATTTGTGTTTATCATTCAACACATAACAAATCTCGCAGAAAAGAAATACACACACAGCGGCGCGTATTCACTGATACTGAACTGTCCGCGAATAAATTTCATATCTATTCGCTTTTCCGATAGATATTTTTTAGAAAAATCCCGCGGTAAAAGGCGTGAGCCAGGATACTGGGTAGCTGTCGCCGTTGATATCGACACCATTGCACTCGAATTTCATCCCATTTTATTAAAATTTGTGCCTTTTTCGATTGTTGCCGCTAGAAAACACATGTCACTGTAGAGCAGTGTTGCTTCGAGCCGAGCCGCGGGCATACAACCCCCTGCATGGTCCATTTAATATTTCCCGCGCAACTTACCGCTTTAATTTTTTTTCTTGTCGCGAAAGTCCCGCTCGGTTTATTAACAAATTTAGACGCTTTTTCGCTCAGCAATTTCGGAAATTCTGTCTTCCTTTGGACTACTTTTTCTCGGCTTCTTTTTGTTGCTATTTATGGGACTACAATTCAATCCCTCCATGAACAGCTGTGAAATTAAGGTTTCATCTGTTTACAGAACCGTTTTAATTTATGGCTAAATTCATAAAACAACATTTCCATTGCTTTTCGCGTTGAAGTTGCTAGGGATCAATCATTTCTAGCGATCGAGGGCTCTAGTTTTTTGTTTTATTTTTCGCAAAAATAGAATGCCGAATTTCACACAATGTCGACTCTCTTATTGTAGCTGTGAGATTTAAAATAGAAAATAACCACCGGGTCCGGCGCATTTTGAAAACATCTGCCAAACGTCTCCCAGGTGTGTGTATATTAAAATTACTGTTACTTGCAAAAGTGCTAATAAGAAAACCACCGTCCTGAAGATTTCTAGAAAATCTAAAAATCACTTTCAGTGCCTAGCAAACCGTATAAATGCCCGTTTTCTGGGGTGCAAAACCATGGATGAATATCACACAAATATGGTCTGGTACTTTAACTGATGAAATTTCCCCAATAGAGGGAAATAATGACAGCGTAGGCAAGTCGGAAAACTTGAATTAATTAAAGCAATCCCTTCTCTTGAAGTACAATCCTACCAGAATTGCGAGGCTTTGGTGATTTCACATCGTATCACCGGGTGGACGTTAAAATTGAGAAGCCGACCGTGCATGTTGACATTTGAACTATCCCAATCGACCGACCAAGAACTGCGAACTGTATATCTTCGTTCGAGAACACGTGTGGATTTAAGAGAGAAAATAGTCAAGTTGACTCGCTAACTTACCGGAATCGAGCGTGGAATTTGCATCGGCGCTCTTTCGTCTTTTCACAAGAAACGAGCGAGGCATGATCGCCGGCGAGAATAAACTTGTGGGCCTTATTGACGACCCGTCTCTAGCACAGCTTGCTTCAATCTTGGTTACAGACGATAGCGCTCAGAATTCAAGGTCTTCGACGTCAGATATAAATAAACTCACGGAGCCTCACTTTGACACATGGGACCAGCAACTTCCGGTTGGGGGTTCAAGTCCTGTTGCTTAAATCTTAACTTCGAGCGTTCAAAAGGAAAAGGACTTAAAGAGGATAAAAATTCCCAATCTCCAATTGTTTATTTTCGTGCTTACCGTTGATATCGTTCCTAATCGTTTTTTTATTTTCGCATGAAAAGGGGCTACGTGAATACATTACGCGAACCGGAACCGGAAATTTACAACAGACAGTTTCATTTCCTGTCATTGTACTGCATGGTAAGCGGGAATTGCAAAACAGAAAAATAAAAATAAAAAATACGAACAGACAAAAACAAAATTAAGAGAGAAGAAAAGAATCTTTTGGATAAATAGAAATGTTTGCACAGTTTCCTACGCGAATTTGAAGTCGAAATAAATGCACAAACTTCGGGAAAAAAAAAAGCAAGGGCGACCTCCCAAGTTTCCCACGTTGATCAGTTTTTTTTTGGTAAGCTTATTTTCGGTTCAACAATAAAGCGTGTGTATCTGTTAGTAAACATGGATTGGAGAGTACACCTGTTTTCACGAGAATTTCCTTTCACGTTTGTTGTAAACTGCAAACATGAGATGTTGGAGTTCACTGATTAATTTTGAACTGAGAATCAATGATGATCATTTATTACTACTCTACTCTGCAGTCTAATTCTAACTTGGTACTTCTGCTTTCCTGAGCCTAGTCATGATAATGTGTCTATTTCCGGTAATTATAAGTGTTCCAGTCTTCAAAGCGGTGCCTCTTCGCTTTCAATCTTGTGTCTTCATCATACTCTCTTGGCTGGTTATATCCGCGAATATCCTTTGGGGCATCACCTTATGATCGAGGACAAAGAAAGGGTCACTATACGAAAGACTTGTTCCCAGTCTCCTATCTTTTACCAAGGAGTCTTGTACTCAGACATCCCACGGTCGTGTTGTTGGGGAGAGTAATTTAGGGATCTGAAAACGAAATTAGCGGGTGCCTCAGTGCTATCTGGTGAACTTGAGCTCTCTTTGAAAAGTTCTTACCGAAAAACTTTGATACAATTCGGTTGGTGTGGTTGAGTCGAATTTGTTATTCATTACAGTGACTGACTTTTCCCTTCGTAACAACTCCGGTTTTCTCCTCGTTTATAAATTACGTAGAACGGTTTATTTTTTTCAATTTTTTTAATTTACTTGTCTACTTATGGGCCTCATAATTCAACCTTTGTTTATATTATTCTCTCAGCAGTTTTTCGTTCGGAAAACAATTCATTTCAGTTTTCGGTTTTAATGAACATTTTGGCGAGTTTTCGTGTTTCAGGTGAACGCAAGAGAATGTAAACTGCAGTTTATAATCTCTTGTGTGTCCCTCCTTGATAAGAAATACGTTCCCAAAGTAAAACAATGAACGGAACGAACAGTTTACCTTCTGGCTGGCCCACTTGGTTATTCCCCATATGAAACGCTTCAGAATAAGAAATATACACCGTGGCAGCGATAAACAATATAACAAGGGCTTTAAATTGCTGCATCTTCTAAGAAAAAGCTATCTAAAGAAAAATCCACACAGAGTTGTCGAATCTTGATCAAGGAATGTTTTGAACAAAACTTATTCCTCCGTTTTTATCTGAGGCTGTCAGGAAAACCGGCAAAGGAAACATGTGTTGTGCAAGAAGGAGATGGGACAGAGCTGCCGGTTTCTTTGTGATAAGAAGCCAGCATCCACAACCACAGCCTAAAAATCAGCTGGATGCTTCCTTAAAGGAAAGTCCTTCCGTCATTTTATCATAAAAAAACTGATACCAAGCTGATTTTAATCCATTTTGAGTCATGTAGCATTTAGAGATCATTGCAAGCTGTTCACTCAACGTTTCTGGATCGACAGAATAGCTTTTACTATTTTTTTAATACTAAATTAGCGATCTCAGCATAAGAATATCAGATACTCAAAGATTCAGCAGGCATTTTTTCGTGAGTCGAATTAACTCCACACTTAAACAATTATTGTTTGAGTGTTGGAGACAAAGGAATTCGATCCTCAAAAAATTTAGCACTCTCTCTCTCACAATTTAAAGTCAAGTCCATCCCTTGTTTTTCCCGTCATTTTGATGATACTCTCCCAAGTTTAAACAAGTTGACCTTGAAAATATACTCTGTGTAATCCTGAGCACTAAGAAACAACAATCATACATACATATTCAAAATTATCTTTATTGTTTGCGAATTCTCAGGTTGAACGCGAACTAAATGACACGGTCAACCTGTACATATATTAAGCGGTCACCTCGTCACTCCCCGGGGTGACCGCTTAGTAAACCCATAGAGATCCTCCTGAAAGAAGTATCCACTTGGCTAACAGACGGCCGGCTCCCACACAACCATATGACATGTAACATATTACCTGATAACAAAATATTTATCAAGTGAAAAATATATGGGTTATATCCTAAATGGTCCAGATAAGTTCATATCACTCCTGCCGGTCCGATATGGATCTGCATCCATTTAGATATCGCATTTAATTCTCAATAATGGATGATTCATAAACAATTAAAGTGACAGAGCCACTTGCCAAACGGACACCAGGCATATTTAAACTGTATCTCAAGTATATTTTAATACTTTTGCACTTGTCTGAGTTAAGTTTTATCTTTGTTAGTAGAGTTTCTTTTTTTATTACCCAGGTAGAAAAGTTACCCAATGTGACAATTTCTCTAATCAAAGGGTCATCCTATAACGTTACCGCTTTTAGCTTTTTTTGCGTTTGAAACTTTTGTATCGGTTTTGATCAGTCTTAGCCTCGTGTGACCTAATGAACAACATACTCCTACCACTCTATTTGATGAAAGCTCTCAGAAGTCTTATGTAACAACATAACACTACCACGGAAAAGGGCAATATAGTTTTACTGCTGCATTTGTGCAAGGATATGGCCACTTTAAAGACAGAAAGACACAACGAATGCACAGGTCGTGTGGCCATTTTGCCGGGAAATATTCAATTCCTCGTTTTTAAGCATAAAGCGTGATAAGTGGCGCGCAGGAATTTGAGAGAACGCGAGAAAAACTTGTAAATCACGAGCTATAAGCGAGTGATTAATAAGCTTTTCGAGTACGTTGAACCAAACGCATTCATAATCACGAAGTATTTTAAGCTCTTTTCCTGGAACTGCATAGGGTAAGGCTGCAACGAGTTATTAAGTTCGTTGTTTGAATTAACCGAGGTCCTTTTTCAAATTTGGGTCGATCCTTCATGCAAATTCGAATTAAGTCGGTTGGCAATTCGTGAAAAGTTCGGCGTCTAAACGGCGCCTTGCTTCCTGCATGCTACCATGAATATCAATTTTTCTCTCATCATCCACAGGTAGAGTACAAATATGATAATTTATTTGCGATGTTCTTGGTGAAAGGTACTCTGAGTGCAATAAATAGGTATATCGCAACGTGAATAGTTAGCCCAAAAACTGTGAGTAATAATTCCGTATATGCCTCTCTCGTTATGACGATATATTTCTCCTTTTGGAGGAAAGTGAAAAATTGTTACAAACTCTGCGAAACAACACACGCCTCCGCCAAACGTTTTGAAGACGCGCGCAGATTTACGACTTCGAGGACGTACCAGTCACCTGAACCACATTTGTATTAGCTTTTTAATCTACATGACATCTTTTCAATTTATACCCCATGCTCGCGAGTAATTGGTACTAATAAAGGCAGGCGGAGGAGTTCTGTTTGTTGGTCGATCCGTGCCGTTTGGCTGGCCAGAAGAAATGGGGTAAGTTTCGTTTGTTTGGCTGGCCAAAAGAAAACTGGCACTAGTTACCATTCTCCCTCCTGTGAGAATATTTAAAATGCTACGATTTGGACTACTTAAGTTCCTCAAACTTTGAGAATCAAATTATGCGTAATTTCTCGAGTGTGTTTGTAAGCTATTAGGCGCCTGAATCACAGGACGTTATGAATTCCTTAAGGTGAGTGGCCCATTCCTCCAAGATAATTGAAAATAATGTTTTAGATGGCGCGATTGTCGAAAGTTTGTCTTGAGCTCATGCAATTGCGGCGTAGAGAATGTAATATTTACCTTTGCCTGTCTATAGCAGTTTTAGCCTCAGTGTACTTGATGATGATAAACCTGTAATTGTTGGTCTTCTGTAGATAGATAGATAGATAGATAGATAGATAGGTAGATAGATAGATAGATTATCTATATTTACCTACAGACATCAGCCATAAAAACATTCAAATATATAAACATGCATTAAATGGATAAGATACCATAAAAACTATACTTAAAGCACATATCTAACTAAAGCTGCTTTCCATGAATGCCATGCCGGAACGTACTTCTTTAATTAAAAGCTTAAATAATCCAAGGGACTCTGCTTGTCATATGTCATGAGGAAGTCTGTTACAAAGAGTGGCGCCACTACAGCTAAAGCTATTTATGTAATAGTTTGTGTGCGGCTAAGGAACATTAAACTTATTCTCAGAGTCTCTTAGGTTATACGCAGTTTCTCGCCTTTCAAATTTGGAACATAAATAATCTGGGGTTTAAAACCATGCAGAGACTTATAAACCATTGTGGCTCTTTGTATTTGCTGCTGGGAAGCTAGGTTTTTCCTGCTCAGGAGCTCAAACAAGTGACCAGCATTGGCGTCATAATTTGAATAAGTCAAAACATGGGCTGCTCTGTTTTGTGTCTTCTGTACCTTTTTCTGCAAAGTTATCCCGCAGTTTCCCCAAACAATATTACAATAGTCAAAATGTGGCTCAATCAGAGCTTGATATATTAGAAGCAAAGTCGCTTGAGGGACAAGGTGCCTTATTCATTTTATAGCCCCAATGCCAGAAGCAACTTTCTTTGTTAGTTTATCAATGTGACTGCTCCAGTTAAGTTTGTTGTCAATGATCACTCCGAGTAATTTTGCAGTGGTGACCTGGCTAACTTGATTGTCTTAAATTGTGATCGTCAGAGAAACTGCAAGAGTACTTAATCTCTGCCTTGAACTGATGAGCATAAACTTGGTATTAGTCATATTTAGCATAAGTTTGTTTGCTCTCAACCAATTGAGAATACAACTGAAGATTGTCTACACGATCACCTGCATATGTAAGGTGGGTGTTGTCGACATCACAAAGTGTGGATTGAAATTGACCAAATGTATGAGCAGTCTGTGGAAAAGTTGCTCTTTTTTTTCTATTTTACACCAGTTCAGGTAATTTAGTGCTAACAACTGTGTTGAAAACGTAAATTGGCCACCGTAAAGAGTTAAAATAGCTGATGTTTTGAGCATTAGCCCTTTGTCAGAGCAATTGGAGGAATTGTGGGTTGTGTGTGGGTTTATATGCAGAAAGTGGAGCTACGCTATTGGTGGGAATATGGTGACAAGAAAACAGGAATAAATTAGTTGAATGAAAAGCACTCGTTGATTCCATGGGGATTAAGGGTGCCAATTTGGAAGATAAATTTTTATTATAGTGTTTTGGGGCTTTCCAAACTCCCTAGATGTAAGGAAAGGCCGCAAACTGCCATATGCTGTGTAAAATGATTAGGGAGAATAAAGTGTTTAGTGACTGGTTTGGATGCGTCCTTGTCATTTCTTTCCACACTGTGAATGTGTTCTCGGAATCGGTCACCCAGTCGACTCAGTTGTTAACACTAAATTACCTGCTATACTCTCCCACCGACACAGAACCACAGTTTCTTTAGAAACTTACACCCTTTACTCCTTTAAAATTCAGGTCTGTTGACATTCCCCATTTCCTATTCCCCATTTCCTATTCCCCATTTCCTATTCTCCATTTCCTATTCCCCATTTCCTATTCCCCATTTCCTATTCCCCATTTCCTATTCCCCATTTCCTATTCCCCATTTCCTATTCCCCATTTCCTATTCCCTATTCCCTATTCCCCATTCTCCATTTCCTATTCCCCATTCTCCATTTCCTATTCCCCATTCTCCATTTCCTATTCCCCATTCTTCATTTCCTATTCCCCATTCTCCATTTCCTATTCCCCATTCTCCATTTCCAATTCCCCATTCCCCATTCCTCATTCCTCATTCCCTGTTCCCTCATCCATAGCCAATTTAAAACTACAGTTGAGTAACGATTTATTAATTGATAACATCTTAGCAATAAATTGAGTTCTATCTTACAAGGTGCTAAGTTATGACTTGTTGTAAATCAGTTTGCATTATTCACTTGTAAACATTCAAGCTTATTGGCTAGAGCCCATTTTTATAACCATGAAAGTAATGATAATAATAATTATAGTGATAATGATAACAATAATTTTAGAACAATCATCATTGTAAAGGATGCATTAATCAGTAATCTCATTTCCTAACAAGACTGAAAAACAGTTTAAAGATGTAATGGTCAAAAGTGATGAATCCTATCAAGTTAATAATGATACAATAATAAGATACAAGCAATGAAGAAGATATTGATGAAAACTGAAATGTCTAACCTTTGCGTCTTTTTGCTAGTTAATGGTAGTGTTATTTATTTTTTTTACTTGAAGGAAAAAGGTTGGAAACTTCATTGCTGGTAATGATACCAGCCAGACTCAACAGACAGACCAACAAGCAAAGGGAAAACATACTCCTCTTCCTGAAGATCAATATGTATTTCCTGGAATAAGATACACCCTCCACTTTGTTACCATTGATGTCACAACAATTGGTCAAAGTGAGCACATAAATCTCCTTATAGATTTTGACATAACTAGTGCTTTGCTTTGACCCCTTACAGTGATTCACATTTGATTTCTCCTCACCACATCACTCCTGAATCACACAATAAAGTCATGAGAATAAAAGGAAATGATCATCAACTTAATTAAGAAGCTCTTGATTGGTAAACAAATTCTCCTTGTGAGCAGCTTAGGCAGTGTATGGAGAACAGTATGGAGAATATGTATGCTGATGATTGGGTGTCAAAGGTTAATGAGGAATAATCTTTGCGCAGTTATCATTACTCAGAGTTACTAATTGGTCAACTGCTGAATCTTCTCCTTTCTTTTTTGTATGAAATTGTCCTACATTTGTATGCTGTTTTTAAAGGAATCTCAGAAAACTTATTTATCTATTACCTCTGTCTAAATTACAGCCACATTTGGCCTTGTCACTGGAAAGACAAGTGTTTCTTCTGATGTGACAAGTAAGTATGCCAAGCTTGGTGAACCTTATCAGCAAGGATTTATTCTTGAAACATTTAAGGCAGTGCCAGGAATTGGGAAGATTGGTTGGAATGCAAGTGAAACTCCATATCAAGGAGTCTTCTCAAGGCCGATGGGGTATGTTAAGAAATAAAATATATCAGTCTATAATTTCTCTCAGTCATTATGCATGTTGTGATTGGTCAATTTAGTAGGTCATACTCTTTCATTTGCCCACTATGATTTAGAGATGTTTTTGTCGCAAAATCTCTAGTTCCTGAATTTCATAGGAATTGAATGTTTACATCTTTTGTTTTCTTTGAATGTGGAAGTTGTGCTCATTAAGGAGAATTTTCCCTGTGCCCTTGAAAATTTTTCTTCCAAGTATCTTTACATCAAATAGTCCACACTATCTGGCAACTTTGCTTTTTGCTTTTCAAAGAAAACCTTGTAATACTTTTCCATTTACACTGCTAATCTATACTGCTACTACAACAGGTTTCTGTATGTTTCCTATTTGAAAGCAATTTTCCTGAAAATGCAACTACTTATAGTGGACACCATGTTTTCTTGAGTAATTTTTCATTGGAGTGAGAGACTTGTAAGAGTCACCTTAATCAAAATATCTTTTATCTCCTTGTTGGTTTGTTTGAAATAATAATTTTCTGAATGAGACTTATATCACTTAATTGTGCAAAAGTACAGAAGTAGATTTGAGGAGAAATAGTGGTATAATTATATTGGTCCAAAACATAAATGTGCGACACTGGCTCCTCTGATGTTAGGAAATAAGTTCAAAACAAGAATCTTGATGTACAAATTTTATTTTTATGATTACTTTTTTGTGATTATGTGATTCATTAATTGATATATTCCAACTATTTTATGATCTTGTAGTCACACATTCAGAAACTCAATATCACATTAGTTAGGCGAGAATGAGTCCTTACCTTATGCTCAGAAAACTGCTGTTTTTATCAATCAGTGCTCCAGTTTACCACTCATGGCAACTGTTGGTGGTAAAGTCAAGCATCCAGACAGTGGAACGAGCAGGACTGTTGGATCAGCTCTCGGGTCGTGGTAATGATGTCACTAACCAGTCAGGAATTATTTCAGTGGTAAGTGGCACTGCTTTTCTTTCACTTAATTATTGTACAGTCCAGTCTTGTGTCACTTTTGTTGTCATAACTGTATCAGACTTTTTCTTTTAGTAACTTCCAGGTGAACTGTGTTTTCATTTTAAACTGAACTAAAAATCCACAAGAAATTGTTGGAAGTTCAAGTTGAAGTGGTTTAGTGTTACAAGCCTAGCTTGAATCAGCCCATCACTGCTGTGAGAATGTATCCATTTTCCTGAGCATGAAGCAACTGGGAGGTAAAGAGAGAGGAGATTATTTTCCAAGCCTGAACAAAAGTTGCTCAGACCATGACAATATAGCCAGAAAAGTCTGATAGTAAGCAAAGAATTCTCCAAACTCACTAATAAACACCCTGCTTAATCCAGAGTTGAGGTTGGTAATCACCAAAGCCAAGTTGTATAAAGGGTGAATAATGGATAAACTGCTAACCAGCAAGTAAGTGTTAGCAAAAGGTATGGTGTTATATCCACCCAACAGAGATTTATTCAGTGGATAGCATTATCTAACCCATGAGTTCAACTCTCCTCTACTTCAAAATGAAAACTAGAATTTAATAAAAAGGTAGCTTGTGCATAATGAGCCTGAAGTATGCAGTTATCAACACCAGTTTTTGCATTTACTTTTCTGTGGCAGATTGCTCAATATTGCAGGCAAGGTGGGCGTTTAGCAAGTGTTGAACTAACTGGACAGAAAGAAAGTCAGGGAGTGTTAGCAAAAGTTGGTGGTAAAAGTGAAGGTAATTGAATATTTTCATTTAATTGATACAGTTTTTTTTTATTATAAAAATTTGTTGAAAGGTAGTTGAGAAGGAAATAAAGCTTGTTTTTTCCTCGTGGTTTCAGTGTTTGGCTGTGATGTGTTCTTCAACATGCCATTGCACCAGAACCCTACACTGTACACATACCAGCTTGTTAATGTTCCTGTTCAAATAATGTACTTGGGTCCTGGAAAGCTTGTCAAAGTCACTTGTGACTGGATGGCACACTTTACTCAACATTTACAAAAGGGATGGAAACTGGTGGATATCTTTTGGGATCAGGGAAAAAGAAGTCATGGAGGTATTTATGCTGTTGTCAATATTTCATAATTTAATTTCTTTTCCAGTATGGGATATTGTCAAATCCTGCGATCTGATTGGTACTTAGTGTGATCTGGATTTTCCTGAAATCATACCAATGCCCTAGTGAGTTTTCATCTATAGTTTTACACAGAAACAATTTTGTTTTAATTTACGCATATTTAATCTTTGTAAGGCTAAAATGCACTGGAAGAAATACTTAACTTAAAATACTCATCCTTAAAACATTAAAATACTCACTGCAAGGTCCTCCAAGCTGGCAAAGAACACATTTTGAATATGCAGTCCTCAAATGGAAAATAAAACTTGATTACATGAGGAGGTAACAATTATCTCATCAACTTTAACAGAAATGGGAAGGTAATCATATGTGATACAAAAAGTTAAGAGTGGGTTGAAAGAGATAGGGAATCCGTTGTGAAGTTGTTGAAATATTTGCTAATATCAGTTAACTAACTCATTGCTCTGGTGCGCTAGACTTTTCCCTCTCTGGAGATCACAATTCAGTGTGGTTTTTTGAAAGAGAGTGTAAAAAAATGACAGACCTCTATCCAGTTTACCAAGGCACCATTATTGAGTACCAGCACACAGTAAAGGTATGTGGTTGTTTCTGGAACAGGAGAGTTGAAACTCAGACTTTGTTATGAACTGTTCCTTGTCTCATTACCAGACTGTGATGGTTGCCCCCTAGTTAACCACGGAATGTACATCTTCTTGCTCTACACCAAGTTTTATCAATTGAAGATGTTTAGTTTCATATGTTCTGTAAGTAAAACTGAACTAACAAAAAAGTAAAGGGGTAAGTTTCTAGAGAAACTGTGGTGCTGCATTGGTGAGAGAGTGTAACAGAGTAATTTGGTGTTATCAACTACGTTGATAATGTAAATTGGCCACGGTAAAGTTTGAACCTTTCCCTCACAATATCCAGGTATTTATTCTCTGTACTATCTGCCATGCATTTTATAAACATGAAGCTCAGAGAATTCATTCTTAAATGAAACAGTATCCTACCCTCTATTGTTATAAATACAATTTCAATGAAAGGATAAACTTAATTTTAATTTGTAACATCTGGGGCTGTAAGAGTTACTTTAAGCACATGGGAGCTTGCACATCAGGATTGTGAGGGGTTCCTTTTCAATTGTTATTTGGAAGAAATATCCTTACCTGTTTCCCCTTCTTGTTGATATCAACATTACCTTAATTTTTTTTTTTTAGGTACCAGTAATTAAGACATTTTTAGGACTGTAAATTAACTTCAAGTAGTTATTCAATGATTTTCTTCCTCGGTAGAACTTAGTAATTAAATTAGTACTTCTGACAACATTTCTTTTCCTCTGCAGCTGGGCTTTTTTGAGACCAAAGCCAAAGGAGATTGGACACCAATGATAACAGAAATGGGCAACAGAGGCTGGGAGCTAGCATGCATGTTAGAGACTCCAGAGGTTACAAAAATAGGCCTTGGAAACATGACATTCAAAGTGTTATTTTTCTTTCAAAGACGTTTGGTGCAACCCACACCACATGGGGGCTACCCCACAGCTATTCCGCAGGGAATTCCTGGTCCCTATAGGCCTCCTCAGGCCCCTCATGTTCCACCCCCTGGGGCACAGTACCCTATGACTGGGCAGGCAGCAGGGTACTACCCTCCTCAGGGGCAAGGTGCTTATCCTCCAACAGGAGGATACCCAAACTATGCACCTCCACCCTACAGTGCAGCACCTGAACCAAGTGCTCCCCCCCTGCCCGAGAAACAGTGAATGTCATCATTTATATCTGTTTAGAAGACCTAATTTCAAATGTAATTTTTTATGCTGTGAGCTGCATACTATTATTCGTACTACGATCTCAAGCATTAGCATTCATATATATATATCTATATATATAAATTTGACATAATTAGGAATTTTTTAAATTAAAATTTATTTAAAGTTATTATATGAATATAGCTAACTCTGAGCAGAGGCTTCTAGAGTGTGAAACTCCACTCATGTAATGAGGAAAGGAGTTGGTTTGAAAGTGGCCTGTTGTTCTCTTAGTTTAAACATTGGCATTTTGTAAAACTATAGCCAAGTAGTTCAAAACTCATTGGCACTCATTGTTGGTTTACTTTATACAAAACTTGTACATCAACATTTCTTACCTTTGTGTCTGGATTTCTATCAGCTCTTCACAAGTCTTTTCAATGTGACAGTCACAAATAACATTGAAAGGTTGTAGAAATGATTGTATGACTGTTAAAGTTTGTGCAGGTAAAGAGGTCTGAAAAAAATTCAGGCTTTAACAGAGTTAAACCTGTGCTCTGGTCAGATACTGGTCATACAGTACTACCTACTGAGCTGTGAAGCCACATATTGGGAGCATGGTAAATTTATGTGATATATCTTGTCACAATTTTGCATTCATCATAAATGAATGTGAAAAATGAAATATCGAATTCTAGTATATACTACACAGGTGGATAATACTTTCCACATACACAGATTGGCTAGAGAAGAAGTAAAGAGTAAGTATAAAGTGAGCAGTGATGAGTTTAACTTCCATTTTTTTGGGGGGTTTAACATTCAAGTGATTGTCAGTAAGTTTTCCAATTCAAATATTAAGAAACAGTGTTTCCTAATTTAGGAAACACACAGAATGGACTTGTCTTTGATGGACCAAGCATGCTTCAATTCAATCTTAATTTTATATATTAAAATGTGCACTTTTTACATTGCCCATTCCACAATTGTTGTCAATGAGTTTTATATGCCTTAATTTGTTTATGCAAGGCATTATCATAAAAAAGTTCTGCACTGTTTGTTTTTTGGGAAGGAACTTTGTCATTACTTTAGCCCAAACTGTCCCTAGAAATACTGGGTTGTGGAAAAGGGTTGACACCCATGGCTTACAATGACAGATAGATGAGACTCCTGCTTCTGGGCTATTGATTGGAATCAGGGGAATCCCTTCCCTCAAGATACACCATTTAAGTCATGTTTCAGTTTTGTATCTGCTTTTATAATTTTTTTTTTGAGGGGCACCTCTAGGGATCTTGTGAGATAGCTACTTGTTTAGAGTGTGTCCTTCCATAGACAGTAAAAAGGAAGACAACAAATCTAGGAGTGAATTGAGATATTTTATTTAAGTTCATGCAATTGATACACAAGGTTCAAGAAAAATAGTGGTGAAGCTAATAATAATAAGGCAAGTCAATGCTACTGTGATACCAGAACTACCTAGAACTCTGGAAACAAGTGACCTCACACTGTGATACCAGAACATCAAAACATGGCCTCAGCTACATTACAAAATACAGTATTAGTGCCCATTACTATGGGTAATAACCAAACTAGGTTAACCTATGCAGAATGTTCCCTATAAGGTTGTGAGCTAGTCCCATTAATGCCTTGATCAATGAATTGATGCCCCCTCTGTATCTTGAACCCAAAGGTAGAGTGAGAGCATGCACACCCTACAATTTGATAACTAATAGTTTTTTCAAGTGATATGGTCCAGTGTTGGAGATATCACAAATAAAAATACATGTCACCAGAATTATCACTGCAAAATGAAACCATACCAAATTCATACACAATAAAACCACCAAATGAAACCACTGTCTCATGCAAACTTCTTTGGCTAAATATTCATTTTTCTTTGTATGTGTAGCTCCTTCCTGGATAGCAAAACAGTCTCTACTATAAAACTGCTGTCAGCCTTTAAATATCAACTAATGCCCCTCACCTTGCTCCATGTTTCACGTTTACCTTTAATTACTGTTTGGTCTTGAACAATCTACAAAAAACCCTATTAATTTGCAGTCAAGTTTACATTACATTTTAAATAGAAGCTCAGCCTACTAATACTATCCCTTACAAAAGAACCTTGACTGCAAATGAATTTCCCTAACCCTAACTTCTCACAAAAACTAGATAGTCAAGCTATGAATAGTACTCAGGGACAAGAAATATTTAAGTTAAGTTAACATTCGTAAATAATGATTGTCTTTAAGTTAATGATGTGTACAAGTCACACTGAATACCTCAAACCTAAGCTTTTGAATATTTTTTTAAGCAACAGACTGATGCAAAAATTAAGAATAAAACTATTACTTTAAAGTTTAAACATTGAATGCTTTCTCCTGATTAAAATTTAAAAAATTATTGATTATAATATCAGGTGATGAAAGATACACTCAGTGTTAACACATCAATATTACAATGAAAATTGGATAGGATGAAAAATTGCCAAAACACTGTCAGGGAGAAACTGTTACCAAGATCCATTTTAACAGTCTGAATATGCTATCTTGGTTTTTACCCAAATCCAAAAAAGAAATTTAATTTCCTTCTTGATGTTATTTTGTGTAAGTCTGAAGCAGGGTAAAAACAACAACAGACAAAATCTGTGTACATCTGCACCAAATGAGAATATTTGGTGAGGAAAATCATTGATCAAACTTGTTAAAGCATGATATCAAATAACCCTTCTCAGCTGAGTTTTCCCTTGAATGGACATATTGTTGCTCGATTACTAGAATTAAACACTGAAAATAACAGCAAAACACTACACCCAAAATATGATAACCATTTGAAACTGAAGTATTTGCTTGTCTTTTTTACCCATTTCATCTCATGAGCATGTTTACAACTGTCAGAAAAAGAAAACCACCAAGAACTCAACGAATAAAACAATCATTACCAATATTGATCCACTAATATATGGTAGAATATCTGAATCATACCGGGTTGTAATGAACCAAAATCACAATAAGTCATTCTTAGTGCTATGAAAATTGCCTCTAAACAAAACCTAGAAATGTGAATGATTGTTACTGTCCAAGATGAGTCATTTTCAACTCACTATACCCACAACTATCGCTATATAAATAAAAAATTATGTGGTAGCTAATTCATGGTGCTAATGTAAGAGAATAAAAAAGACACTGCTTCAGTTTATCCTCTTTAATAAATTACTGGAATTCAGAGCCTAATAAATATTTAATATTACAAAATGCATTTAACAAGATTCAGCATCTAATTGTAGATACCCTTGCCTTATATTGTGTATTATAATATCAATTGGTAAATAATGATGAATGGAATCTATGCAGCCTTGACGTGTGACTTGTCTGGTTGGGTACCAAATGGATAATCCCACAATTTGCTAGAGATACCAAAACCTGTACAAACAACAGTGTCATTATGAGTTAATAATTAATATTCTAAAATAGTGCCTGAGCAAGGCCTACCTATTTCCTAAGAAGCTACCATGGTAAAAATCCTTATGTATCACACCACTGTGCATGATGTGTGCAGTTCCACTTTGGCTGAAAGTTCCCATCAAGTTGAGCCACAAGGTTTAAGAACTTTTAAGATTGTTTTTCTGTTCTATTTCAATTGAGATCGACCTTTTGAAGCTCAAAATGAAAAGAAAAAATGCTAAATCATTCTTGTTTTGAAAAACAATGAGCATGTACCCTTTTCAAGCCCTGGAATCAGTTTTGGAGTTGATGATACTTCATCCCCAAACACCATGCAAATTATGGCTCTAACAGAGGCTTTACAATTTGGGGAACTCATCAAAAAAACAGTAAACATTATTTTGAAGTGTTGATTCATCCTAAAAGTGTTGTTCAATAGAAGATTTTGCTTTAAAATAGAACACTTTTCAGAATTTTCAACACAAAGCAAAATATTTCTTGGTCATTTTAGCCTTGTCACTCATTCAATAGTTTTCAGGTTGAATGCAATTACCTGATAAACCTGACTCAATTGTAATAACATATTTCTTTTTTGTTTGAGGCTGCATGCTGCATTATAAAGGAATTGGTTTATGCTTTAGCTGCAAGTATATTGAGTTATGGATGCACTTGGTTCTCTCGTGCTCTCCAAACTTCCCACATGCATCCATAACACATACGCATGCTAAGTACGGACCAATTCTTCAGTGATATTATACTTTACAAAACTGTTTCAAATAGCTCATGCCAAATCGACCAAAACCAACTGTATAACACCTAGAATTTTGTGCAAATGCTTAAAGGAACAGCACCTTGTAGATATTGAAGAAATGAATTTAATTTTTCTTAAAGAATGTTTTCCAGAAAACTCTTTACTTTTAATTCCAGTAGTTATTATATTACTTTAAGTGTTTGAAAATTAAACATTTTTCCTAAAAGATTCAAATATATTCCATTCAACAGAGCAAGACTGTGATTGTGAGGCACCAATCACAGCCTCCACAATGCACATGCCCCATAACTGTCCTGAAAAAGACCCCACCATGCAATTAGCCACTCTCAGCCACTTAGCCTGTTTTATTAACATACAAATAGTATTATGTACCTTTCTGCTGGTCTTCAAAATGATGCGATACATGGTATTTCTTCAGCTGGTGTAGATAACTTCCAGGTGTTGGAGAGCCATGGTGTAAGTAGTAATGCATCATATCATATGTAATATAACCAAACAAACCACCAGCAAACAAACTCCTGGCCATGGCTAGTGGGAACAGTAAAGCAAATGCAAAGTAGAAGATGGATGCCAAGATACCTGCAGCTACAGGAGGAAACACCAGTCTTCCACTATCAAAAGGCACCTTAAGAAAACACAGAGAAGGAGTGATGATCAGATTTCAATTCAGAGTACAATTGTATTTCTATGTTGTTCACAGTCACCCTGAATACCACTTCCAAGAGATTTTTACCAAACGTTACATATTGCTAATAACCCTAACAACATGTTATGTTGAAAAAAAACACAGATCTTGTCTTGGTTTGCCAGCACAACCTCACTCTAATGGTATCACAGCTCAGCCAGTCCTGACCAGGTTTTTCTCAGATCTTCCCACACTTATTCTGTTATCAACGCAAAGATACAGTCACGTAACAGTTATCAACATGCACAGGACACTCAAAACACTGCATACCTTGTGATGCTGCCCATGAAGAAAAAAATGAATGGTGATCCAAAATGGGTCATCAGCAGGGACATGATTGATCAAGTGAAACAAGAAGCGATGTAAGACGTACTCTATCAATGACCATATAAAAATGCCAAACAAGAACAGCAGTGAAAATGCAGATAAAGCCTTGAGTTTGGAATCTAGGTAATAAGGATTGATACTTCCAATTCCATTCTGCGTGGTTAGATCGTGGAAGCCCAGGAAGCTTACAAACAGTATGATTGGAATCCAGATTATGGGTACAACATACCATGGAGTGGTTGAAAAGAATTCCACAAAGTCAGACTCAAAGAGTCTCAAGGGGCGATCAACTGGGGAATGAACCCAACTTAGATAGTCTGCACGAAGTTTCCCCACTTGTGGAAGGATTGCTTTGTTCCAGTCAACGAGATCCTGAAAGAGATGGCAAAAAGAAGTTAACATGTACTAACAACAGAAACAACAACAGAGCAAACAAAAATGTTTAAAACAGTTATCTAAATTCATACCTCTCTCCAGCCATCCATAGGAAGATTCTGTCTTGTTGTTGAATCATATTCTTTGTTCTCCTCCTATACATAATACAAAGTCAAGTCAACCAACAATAATGATCAGAAGTAAATTTAACACTACATACTTCAAGTTGATACTTCAAAATGTATTGATTTTCAAGTTCGCACTTCTTCATCAATCCCTACTGTACTACCCACCCAGAGCAATCCATGAGCATTTGACTGCTCTCCAGGGAGGAGGGAACTTAGACCCAAAGACTTTCCCGAGGTTGGGCAATTTTAGCCTTGCCTTGGTGGGGTAGGGATTTGAACTGGAAGTGTCAAGTCTTTCCTGCAGAACACATAAGTGGCTAAACTGCAGAATACCCTGCCACTCATTTACATCTCACTGAAAAAGAATAGCATCTGTTGTGTTATGCCTTGTTCTTGAAAACCGTATGACACATGTAAATGAGGTGGATCAAAGTGCCAGGGTATTCTGCAGTTACTCCCAAATGAGTATTATTTTTTTAGAATATGGATGAGTTTTAAAGTTAAGAGTTTGCTCTCATGAGCAAATGGCTCTGAAAAAAAGGTCTATGAAAGCTGAGCAAAATTTTTGAAGGTATGTTAAATAACTAGAGTGAACATTTCAGTTGAGTGATTTTTAGGTTTTGAAGCTTGAATAGCCAAATCAATTGCTAATCAATGAGTAGAAAGTCACTGTCACTGGTCTTATTTTTTTCAAGAATAGTTGTTTCCATAGAGCATGAAATGCTATTGAATAATAAATGAACAAAAACCTTTCTAAAAATATCAAATACTACTACATTTTACTCAGTTTGGAGAGGCATTTGACCAAGAAATCTAGCTCTTGGGTAGGTATTTTGAATGCAGTTGGCCCAGGAGGCGGGAGTTTTAATGAACCTACTGTCCAAAGTCCAAATTATTAAGCCTAAATTGTTAATTCCACTCAGTCAAAGAGCATTTCACACAAAGAATAAATATATCTATAAAAAACTGATATGTAAAGTACATGACAAAAAAAAATTGTTTGAAAACAAAAGAAAAACTTAATTAACACTCCTGTCACATTCCAAAAGTTAAATTCAAATAAATTTGTAATAACGTAAATGTTAAAACAAAGTGCAGAATTAAAAGCAAATTTGCTGACCCATGTGCTTAAGTAGTACAGCCTAAAATAGTGAATTAATTAAGCATTTGATAGATATAAAACTCTTGACAGTTTCAGATAGCTAACACAGAAACAGTTAGACACAATAGGATTGACAAAAGTTTTTATATGCCATTGCCAAAACACCTAAAAATTGTGTTCCCTTAGCTTATAATGTAAGCAAAATATCAACTTTTCCAAAACCTCCTCTATTACTCTGGATGTTTTGTTACTCATTTTAACACTTACTGTTAAAAAAATTAAAAAAAGGTGATTGAAAGTAGAACCAAACAACATAACAACTGAGCCTTGGCCACTCCTGGAGCTGCCAGTAAAATGAAGCAACAGAGATGCTGGAGAAACATGAACACTTCTAATTTGATTAAAACTTAATACACTTGTTATGCACCTGAGGTAGATAACCAGAAAGCCCTAAATTCTTTCACTAGTAGAGATAAACACTGCATCAGTTGTTTATTTTTTAAAACCAAACTGTCCTAGATAAAGACCTCAGAAACATGTTCAAATGTAGGAGGAAAATAAAGTTTAATAACCTTTAACAAAAACTAAAGGATGACCAACAACATAATAGCTGCTTAATTTGGCTTCTGGAATGTTACTGAGTCAATTCAAATGCAGATAAGGATGGATGTGCTTTACTGAACTTTTAACACTTGTGGCAGAAAAAAAAAACATCGTTGTCATGGCTTCTGAAATGCATTTCTATCAAAAGGGTGAGGTAGACAGGCTCGTTGTTTGCACACCATCAGTCAAACAAACATATCATCCCTCACAAAACTGCACTTGTGCCCTCAAAGACACAAGTACACAAGTGTTTACACAAAATTGGTGATGCCCAAAACATGCTTACTTTCCTCCACATCTCATTGTTCTTTTCTTATTTATTGACAATAGTGACAACATTTTGTTGCTGGAATGCTTTAATAATAAAATGAGTGAAATATAATAAATATTGTAACTTGCCGGTTAATTTTGTGACTTTAAACCTGTCCTGGATAAAGATCTCAGAATCATGTTCAAATGAAGGAAGACAAAAAATCGAACAACACCAAACCTACGAAAGAGTAGCTACTTAATTAGGCTTCTGGAATGGTCCTGCTTCAATTCAAATGCAAATAGGATGGAATCGCTTTTCTGAAATTTTAACCCTTGCGGCAGGGAAAAAACATACGTGCGAAGTGAACCACGGGGAGTCAGTTTAAAACGAAAACATATTTAACTGCGTCAAAGAAAAAAAGTACTCGTGGTAAGAATTGAATTTTAATACCATAAGGTTGAGGTAATTAAACAGGTTTGAATTAAATTAAAAATAACGGACTATTCGTAACATGCATGGTAAATATGGGCTGATCTGTCTGGCGTGAAATTATGTAACACAAACGGGAGGAGGCCACCCAAATTGTTTCAAATCCGATGTTGTAAATGTCCATCCCATAAATTTACCACAAAAAAAATACACAAAACGCTAAACAGTACTCTGAACATGTAAAAACTTTCCATTCAATCCTGTGTGGTTCTAAATGTAAATATTGTTTTCGATAATTTACCAAAACTACTGATCACCGACAGCAGTACAATGGCCAGTTTAAAATAACTCAAAATAGAAGGCTTTAAGAAGTTTCAAAGCTAGAGAAAAACAATTTTCTAACCTCTCCCTTTAAGCGTCCTATCAGGTATTTTCCAAGCCAGCCATATGCAAAATTTGTATGTCTGTGTAGATCATCTTGAGTCATCACTTTAGTCACATCCTTGCCCGCGAACCGCAGCAAAATATCCTTCCCCCCGGGATGTCTCTCCAGAAATTCACTAATATCGTACACCTTTCCACGGTGTATGATCCAAAAATCTTTCTCCGAGTTATGCTGTTGCACTTCCTCGACGGAAAACAAGGGGAGTTTGGGCCTTCCCGCGTAACTCTCCGCCATTGCTCAATATAAACTGATAAAAGGACGTGTACTGTTGATGTAACAAAGTCCACCTCAAACAAGTTTGCAGCCTTACTGGGAATAAATAATCCGTGAAGAACTGGGGTGAGCTAAGTATGAGATGCCTTTGAAGTCAGCGGTTACGCCCATGGATTGCATGATTTTCGTGGAAATTTCATGGTTTTTGGCCGGTGCTTACGACTAAATTGGTTCGTCTCATCCCTAAATTCCATTCTTTTCGCCAACGTTTCAAAAAGAACGTCAAGCACTGCGATTAAGATGGATCCTTCATTAACAGCGAAAGATCTCCGAAAGATGTTCGTTGATTTCTTTGTGGAGAAATACGAGCATACCTTTGTCCCTTCATCATCTACGATTCCTCATGAGGACCCAACCTTATTGTTTGCGAACGCTGGTATGAATCAGGTAATTTCATTGATATCTGTGCATTGAAAACTGCTTAAAAGGTTTCACGTCATAAGTTGTTACTTGCATCACACTTCAGGAAACCAATAGTAATTACATTGTGTTGACTGACGGGTTTCAATTTGGAAAAAATATTTCACGTGCTCTTTCGAACATTTGTTTTTTGTGGGATGTGAGACAATTCACGATCCTTGTTGCCTAAATTTTCTCATGGTTCCCCTCTATTGCTGTTTCACCTTTTACCCTTTTTGACCAAGGGTTTTGGAAGCAGGAAATGGGAAATCTAGACATAGAAGGAAATAGGACTTCCATTTAAAGGACCATTTTTTAGTTTTTTTTTTAGTTTTTTTTTTAATTAAAAAAACTCTATTTTAGTGTGTAGAGTGGTATGTGGCTCGCATCAATCAGATTGCTGCATTAGCGTAAATAGCTAACACCAATCAGATTGCTGCATTAGGGTATGTATCTCACACCAATCATATCACAACATTTGGATATCATGCACCAATCACAGCATTTGGGTATTGTTATTTTGTAAATGATGTCATGGAGTTAGGGAGCTGTGCACAAAGAATGACATCACATAGAAATTTTGGGCTCATTTGATAAGTGTTATGATTGTGCCCTTTGCAAGAGCCTTGTCAAGTGAGGTGGAGATTTATTGGGATATGGAAGGTTCGCATTTATTTTTATTGTATAATTTTTGAGGTAAAACATGTTTTTTCTGTTCCTTTTCTCACAACCCACATGCCAAACAACTTACATTCCATCACATACCATGAAAAACAACATCCAAAGTCTAATCAGAACATACTCAATCGTTGCACTACATGAACATTAGGCAATGTTTCATGTGCTTGAATTGTATTCTACCTATCAAATTCCATTTTGCCACATTAGACTTCACTCCATCACATCCCATTTCCTTGTAAACAACCAACTTGCATTTTATCAGGTATTCTAACGGCATTATCCAACACCACAGAAAAAAATTCAGATAAAACTTAATGTTACTGAGTGAATTTTCTACTCATTCTCCCACATTTTGACTTTTTCTACAAATAAAATTTGCTTTTAGCTACCTTTGAATTAACCTAATCACATGTTAATTTCTTGTAAACAACCTGCATTTTATCATGTATTTCACACACAGAGGGCAAAGTCCAGATAAGCCAGAACCAATCAAGGAGCCCTCTTTGAAATATTATCCTTTCCTCTTGCTCTGTTTATCTTCTCTTATATGAGATTGCAATATATCTTTGGTTAGGGTTCATTGGAGATGCATGTGTTTCAGTCTACTTTTCACTTTAAAATTATGTGGAATTATATTTTTAAGAGGACTAACTGTAGATGAATAATTTTGATTTTGTTTCTCTTAGATGAATGGTTGTAAGGGTAGTCTCTTTTGCAACCATTATTTGTTCTCATCACGCAATGGCTCTCTTCAACGGGGAATAGAGGCATTGTGTGACGAGATCAAACAACGGCTGCAAAGGAGACTACAGTAAGCGTGGCTCTGATGCATTTTATTTTTGCTCATAAGTATTTAGACAATAGAGACAATAGACAACAAAATACCTATGTGAGTTTAGATAAATTGTTTTTTCTCTTTCTCTTGAAGTGAAGTAATGTGATATTTTTGTTCTTTCGAAACTTATGAAAGCATTAGGAACACAAAGTGTTCCACCTCATCCTTTCCAGCTAAAAAGTAACTCTTGCATGTCTATGTTATTTAATAGGGGAACCCATCTTTTGACAGAATGTTCCATGAGGATCTTTAGTTTTTGTTAATATCTGCGGTGGAGGGAAGTGCAGTAACATGTTTGAAAAGTATTTGAAACAGAGTTTGGAAAAATGGAATCTTTTAGTGATGTAGAAAACATCATCAGGGGAGGGGAGATAAGGAATATTTTGTTACCAATTTTACATTTTTCCTAGGGAGGGGGGAAGATTCAAATTCTTTGACCTAAATTTTGGATTATTTTCCTGTGCTTAATTAAGGTAAATCTGTAGGGTCTGTAACAAAGCATAGTTCTAAACAGTTTTTAAACCATTAAATTGTTTAGACAAAACCAAACAAGTTTGATGAAAAATAAGACCCAATAATGACTAAAACATGCAAGAATCTTGGGTACAATGTAGTTATTAGCTCTCATTAGGATAGTTGTTATAAAATTACAAACTTGAGAATTCACTCACTGTGTTAGGACCATTAAAAAA